AAATTTATTTAAATGAATTTGAAAAAAAAAAATATTTTATATTTAAAAATATTTATCCCTTTATTTTTAAAAATAAACCCAAAATTTTTTGAATATCTACAAACTTTTGAAAATATTTTTAACTTTTATTCACGTTTTACAAAATATTTTGTTCATGATATGCTGATAAAAAAACAAAACAAAAAAAAATCCGTTATTAAAAAAATTTTTGGAATCTTTTAAAAAGGACGCAAAAGTTTTGAAATTAAAAATCTTTGAAATTCAAAATTTAATTCATATAACTAATATATAATCCATATATATAAAAAATATTACTTGTTGAAATATGAAAAAAAATGGATTAAAAATTTTAAAAATTATTTTAAATATTTATTTTTATATTTTTATAAATTTTTAATTTCTACAAAAATTTATTAAGAAATTTTTTCATTTTTAAAATATTTTTTTTTATTTTTTTCTTTATTTTTTTTTTTTTTTTTTTTTTTAAAACAATTTGAAATTTATAATTTTTTTTCTAATTCCTTGATATTTAAAAACTTTTCTTTTTTAATTTTTAAGAACTATTTTTTTTTGTAGTTACTTTGAAAATGTTTCTCCTTCATTTTAATGTTATTTTGTATATAAATCTCTTGAAAAAAAATGAATACATTTTGTCCAAGAAATTTTTTGGAAATTTGGAAGGAAATGCAATTATTTTTATATTTTAAATTATATTTAAAAAAACAAAACAAATTTTAATATTTTTTTTTTTTTTTAAATATTTTTTTTATAAAAATAACAAAATAATAAGTACAGATTTAAAAAAAAAAAAGATTATTTAAAATTTCGATCAAATATTTCAGAGGAATTTAAATATTTAAATGTTTAAAATGAAAAGGTTATAGGATTTAATTAAAGTCATTTAATTTAATTATTTATAATTTTTTATATTTATTGAAAAATACATTATTCCTTTATTAAAAACAGAATATTTTATTAAATAGTGTATGCGCATTTTATTGACAAATTGGATGAAGTTTATGTCTATAAAATTAAAACAATTGTTGTTTGAATTATTTTTAAAAAAATTTTCACAAGATTATGAATTTCAAAATTATATCGTTAATATATTATATTTAAACTATCTAAAAAATTTAGAAATTATTAAATATCGTTTTGGGTTTAAAATGTCTAATATCTTATTTGTTTTTTTTTTTTTTTTTTATGATTGTGAATTTTAAAAAAAGACAAAAAGGAATAAAATATTTAGATTTAGTATATTTATCTTTAGACAATCAGGTAAAAATAAGAGAATTAAAAAGAGGAATTGAATACAATTCAATGAGCGGTAAAATTTAAATCTTCTTTCCAAAAATTATTTATTTAAGTTTGTGTATATATTTTATGTTTTTCATGATTTGAATTAGAAATACATTTTAAAGAAAATATCGAAAATATTTAATCTAAAATTTGATGATCATATTTTTTTGGTGAAGATTTACCAACGAAAAATATAAAAAAAATGAAATTATGAAAAATAAAATTTTTGTATTTTTTGAACAAAAATATATGCATTTAAAAATAAAAATTTTATTTATATAACACACACACACACAGACGAATATGAATATATAATATAAAAATATATTTAAAGATGAATATATAAATATATATATAAATTTAATTAGGTACCTCCACTATTTCGGCATAAATTTTCTATATTGAAGTTTAAAATGAATTTTTTAAAATGAAAAAACATTCTTGAAGATTTCATTTTAGCTTTAATTGAAAGTTTAATAATTAAATTTACGATTTCTATTAATTAAACAATTCTGGTGTATTTCAGATAGAAACTATATACATTTGATTGTCAAATTTAATTTCAAATTTTTAAATTTTCTTAAAACGGCCATTTTCTTAATTTTAAGAAATTTGTAAACAAACACAAATTTATCGATTTTTAAAATATTTAAAAAAAAATTTGACACGTTATTTTAGTAAAATTAAAAATTTAAAGTTAAAGTAATCTGATTTGAAAAAGAAATCTTTGTTACTTATAGCATAAAAAAATAATATACAACCAATTATTAACGAGCGGTCCTGTTCATTGTTCGATCTTATTGATAATGATTGATTGACGAGCCGATGACAGCTACTACTGATGACCATAAATGACATAATTTTTAAGTCTGAGTTTTAAAAAATTATTCTATTTGAGTATGACACACACTAATGGAAATACAATACATAAAATAAAATTATTTAGTGAAATAGTAATGAAAAAAAAAAAAAATAATTTAAAATTTAAAGTTTACACTTTTTGAACGGAAAATACAATCTGTAAATAAACAAAAATTTTTTTGAAAAGGCCACGTAAAGGGACAAAACCCTTAGATCACGTGACCTTTTATAATAATGGCAATTTCTGTATATCATACATGGAAATAAGGAATGTATTAAGTAAAAAAATACAACATAAAAAATTATTTTTAAAAAAAAAGTAGCGCAACTAAATTTATTAAACTTAGCAATTTTGGATTCGTAATTTTTTTTTCTACTTAATTACTACATAATATCGAGGAACCCTCCTAATACAGAATTTTACACGATTTAAAACTATTATAAATTATTATAATTAAAATTTAAAAAAAACGAAAAAATTCTAAAAAAAATTAATTATTCATCAGAAAAAATTATTTCTTCAGACAATAATGTCCTTAATATTACTTATTTACAAAAGCAATTAAAAGCTTTTTTCTAATTAATAATATCATAGTTTTATTGGATTCATTATTTTTCAATTCAGAGCAGATTTTCAGTTAAATAGCTCAAATTTGAAAAAAAAAAAAAAAAACGTAGATTATTTACCATCTTCGAAGACTCCTACTTTTAACAAAAAAAAAAAATTCAGGAACCAAAAAGGTTTTGGGCGAAATTTCATTAAATTAAGTAAATGTGGGGTAACATATTTTAAAAAAATATAATTTTTACCAAAATTTTCTAAAAAAAAATATTTCAAAAATAATTTCATTCATTTGTGAATAAGTCCTGAAAATTTCATTAAGATTGGACAATTATTTTATTTTTACAAGAATTTCCAAATCAATATGTTTTCAACGGTAAAAAAACGCAAAAAAAAAACAATGTTATTTTAAACGTCGCCGCGATGACGTAAACAAAGACGATTTTAACCAAAATTTCGAACGTGTTAGAAAATATTAAAAAATTTCAAAAATAATTAAAAAATACTTTTTTCTTTCATAAGCATTTTGACGATAATACTTTATTTTCTTTAAGTTTGTGGCATTTTTCATTTTATGTAATATATGTGTGTGTGTATTAATAATATATTGAATATACACACATGCATTTATAATCATATTTATATATTATGTAATATATATTATTGTGTATGTTATAATATTGTGTGTGTGTATTAAGTTAATATATATATTTTTATTGTATTATGTAATATATATATTGTGTGTGTATTTGAAATATATATTGTGTGTTTTAATAATATATATTGTGTGTATATATACAATAATATATAAATATATGTATATTAATGTAATATCTATATTGTGTATAGATATATTAAGGCCAAATATATATTGTTGTGTAAATTATGTAATATATGTCTTGTGTATATATATTATGTAATATACTGTATTATCAATAATCCCTGTATATATTATATAATATATAGTTTTTGTGTATATATATTATGTAATATATACATTGTGTGTATATGTATTAAAAATATATACAAATATGTTATATATATTATTTAATATATACATTGTGTGTGTCTTATATTATGTAATATATACATTTTGTGTATTTATATTATTTAATATATACATTGTGTGTGTATATATATATATATATATATATATATATATATATATATATATATATATATATATATATATAAATTAAAATAATATATACATTGTGTGTGTATATATATATATATATATATTGTGTATGTGATTAATGCAAATATAAGATTTGTTACTTATTGATTGATGTTGCAAAGCAAAAAAAAAAAACAGAGTTTCAGAGACAATTTTGTAATCGTTTGGTTTTCATCAGAAGGTTTCTTCAAATTCCATTAATCTTTTTTTCATTATTTTCATATTTATGTTGAAAAATAATTTGTAATTAGTTATTTGTGTTAGGTTGATATTTTTTTTTTGTTCTGCTTTTGTGTTAATGTGAATGCTTATAAATGAATTAAGAAAGATATTGTTTTGAATCAAAAAAGTTGTTTGAGGAAGGTATTTCTGAAAGATAACATCTTAAGGCAAGCAGTCTCTAATTCTCGTATTAAATATCATGTTATATGAAGCATTGACACTATTAAATGAAATTAGATATCCATTATTTTGTCAGAGATTACATGACTGTCAAAGATTTGTTTGTAAAAGTTCAAATTTCAAATAAAAAAACAAACAAGTTTCCTGTCAATTGGGGTAATCTGTGTGATAAGAATTTATTTGATAAATTTATTTTTGGAAAAAATTATTCGTCAAAAACTAATATATATATATATATATATATATATATATATATATATATATGTGTGTGTGTCTTTGTTGTTAGTAAAAGGTTAATTTAGAATATGAGCTTGAACAGAAAGAAGAGACAGGCACACTAACATATAAAAAAAAGGGAAGAAAAGACAGAGAAAAAAAGAATGAATACTGGTTGAAAGGAAAAAGATATTATCGAGGGTCATATGGAAGATTTTTTTTTTATTTTTATTGAATTTGACTCATATGGAACTTTTCAACCTCAAGATGAAGAGAAGGAAAATTTTATTAAGAATTTTAGAAATGAAAGCAGAAATGGAGAAATTGCTTTATGTCCATTTACTTGAAGTGAAAGTCTTAAAAACACATCTCATGATTGCCAGGCAGAAAAATTGTTCAATTGAGCTATGATGTTTGGTAATTTTGAAGATGAAGGCAGAAAAAGAAACTGATTTAATAAATGGCCTGTCAAAAAGAGTAGAA